TTTACCTCACGCTTCTAGAGAGCAGTTCAGTGAGAGTTGGGCACACGGGTTGAGTTGAGCACAGCGTTCCATCCTCAGACGGACGGACAGTCCGAGCGGACTATTCAGATATTGGAGGATATGCTCCGAGCTTGTGTCATTGATTTTGGAGGCTCGTGGGACCGGTATATGCCTTTAGCAGAGTTCGCCTACAACAACAGCTACCAGTCTAGCATCCAGATGGTTCCATATGAGGCGTTGTATGGTAGGCGATGTCGGTCTCCAGTTGGATGGTTCGAGCCGGGAGAGGCTCGGTTGTTGGGTACAGACTTAGTTCAGGAGGCTTTAGATAAGGTCAAGATCATTCAGGAGAGGCTTCGTTCAGCTCATTCTAGGCAGAAGAGTTATGCAGACCGTAAGGTTTGAGATGTAGCTTTCATGGTTGGTGAGCGGGTATTGCTCCGAGTGTCGCCTATGAAGGGCGTGATGAGATTTGGGAAGAAGGGCAAGCTTAGCCCTAGGTACATCGGCCCATTTGAGATTCTTGATCGAGTGGGTGAGGTAGCTTATAGACTTGCGTTGCCGCCTAGCTTATCAGTCGTGCATCCAGTTTTCCATGTATCCATGCTTCGTAGGTACCACGGCGATCCTTCCCATGTATTAGACTTCAGCACAGTCCAGTTGGACAAGGATCTGTCATATGAGGAGGAGCCGGTAGCTATTCTAGACCGGCAAGTTCGTTAGTTGAGGTCCAAGAGTTTCCCTTCTGTTCGTGTTCAGTGGAGAGGTCAGCCTCCTGAGGCATCGACCTGGGAGTCCGAGTCTGATATGCGGAGCCGTTATCCCCATCTTTTTCCCGACTCAGGTACTTCTTTCTCTTGTCCGTTCGAGGATGAACGGTTGTTTTAGAGGTGGAGAATGTGACGACCCAAAGGGTCATCACCTGTATTCCTACTCACTCTGTATTTCTAAGGCCGTGAAAACCTCACTTGGGGGTTGCCTCGAATTTTGTGTGCGCAGTTCGGGCGCGTAGCCAGAACGTTTAAGTATGAAATTTTGAGGAAGATAATAAAATTTTGATGTTTTAATTGATTAAGTTTGACTTCGGTCAACATTTTGGGCGAACGGACCCGGACTCGTGATTCGAAAGTCCCAGAGGTTCGTAGGAAATTTTGGGACTTGGGTGTGTGCCCGGAATCAAATTTCGAGGTCCCAAGTCCGAGAAACGAATTGTTATGTGAAATTGTTTTCTGAAAATAATTAAAGAATTGGAAAGTGTTATTTGTTTAGAAGACTGTGCTGTTGGGCTCGTATTTTGGTTCCGACGCCCGGCACAAGTATTAAATATGAGTTAAGCAATTGCTGTGAAGTTTGGTTAGATTTGGACGTCATTTGACGTGTTTTGAGCTAGAAGCAGTAAAATTTGATGTTTCATGGAAATTGGAAGGAAATCATGGGTCTTGAGGCCTAATTCGATGTTGTTTTGGCGATTTGATCGCACGGATGAGTCCGTAGGATGTTTTTGGAGTTATGTGTATGTTTGGTTTGGAGCCCTGAGGGCTCGGGTGAGTTTTGAGTGGGTCCCGGGAGGGTCTTAGACTTAAAAGTATCAGATTGCAGGTCCAGGTGTTGCAGGCCCCCAGCGCGGCCGTGGTCATTTCCGCACGGTCCGCGCTGGAAGCCGCGCGGCCGCGGTGCATTTCTGTGCGGTCCGCGTGGCTAGGTTCAGAGGGCCAGCGAATTCCAGTTCGACCAGCGCGGCCGCGTGCCATATCAGCGTGGTCCGCTTTGCAAGATTCAGAGAGGGGTCTTGGGTCCATTCAACCAGCGCGGTCGCGCACCAAATCAGTGCGGTCCGCGCTGGGTAGGTTCAGAGAGTCATTTTCCCTCCCTTCCTCGGCGCGGCCGCGGGGCATTTTTGTGCGGTCCGCACCGAGTCTTCAGTAAAGTATATAAAGTCGGGATTTTCAGTCATTTTTCACTTTTTCAAAACCCAAAACATAAGAGGCGATTTTCCAAACAATTCTACTTCTTCAAAATGATTTGTAAGTGATTTCTAACAGCTTTTCTATACTCCTTAACATCCTTAAACATAATTTCAACTTCAAAACAAGGATTTTAATGGGGGAATTTGGGAATTTAGGGTAGAACTAGGGTCCCTAAATTTGGGGGTTTTGGACCTCAATTTGAGGTCCGGTTCTAAAATAACTCACATATCTGAGTTCATGGGGGAATGGGTAATCGGGTTTTGGTTCAAACCTCGGGTTTTGACCACGTGGGCCCGGGGGCATATTGGGAATTTTTGAGTAAAACTTTGGGAAATTCATTTTCATGCATTCAAATCGATTCAAGTAGCATTTGTTAATACATTCAAGTAATTTGTGATTAGATTCGAGCAGTTTGGTGGTGAATTCGAAGGGTAAAGCGATACTAGAGGCTTGAGTTGAGTTTGGAGCATTCGAGGTAAGTGTTTGATCTAACTTTGGCTTGAGGGAATAGGATTAGAGTGTTGTTCGCTAATTGCTAAATGTTGCGTACGGTGTATAGGCATGGTGACGAGTATCTATACACCGGTGTCTAGCATGACCGTGGGTCCTTGTATGTACTTATCCTGATATTGTTATGACTCTTCCATGTTAATTGATGAATTCTAGGCAATGTGAAGAGTATGAGGACTAATTTTGAATTGTAAATTCTTTGGAGCGTTGGCTCGAATGACAAAAAGACTATTGAGTAAGAAATGAAAGAAATAGAAAGTGATATGATTAATCCCTTGCCGGGATGGTTTTAGTATATTGATTATCTCCCTTACCGGGATGTGAAAGTATTGTTGTAACTCCCTTGCCGGGACATTTCTTATATTTGTTTATCCCCCTGCCCCGTTTGATTGTGATTACTGTTTGGGTGAGGAAGAGTGATAATGCACGAAGGGTCATTCCGTGCCATGTTTTGATTATTTATGCACGAAGGGACATTCCGTGCTCTGATTTGATTATAATTGCATGAAGGGTCATTCCGTGCCATGTTTTGATTATTTATGCACGAAGGGACATTCCGTGCTCTGATTTGATTATAATTGCACGAAGGATCATTCCGTGCCATGATATGAGAGTTATGTGAGGGAAAGCACGAAGGGTGATGCCGTGCACTTTATTTGATTGCTTTTGGTGAGAATGAGAGTAAAAGCACGAAGGTTGATGTCGTGCAACTGTTGATTTTCCTGCTCTCATTAATTATTGTTATTGCCCTGTTTCTTACTTAAATTGTTGACTTTATATCCGGACTGTACTCCCCCATAGTATGCTCCCCTCCCTCTTAACTGTTTAATTTCTGTATTCTTCCCTTTTATTGCATATATATATATATATATATATATGCACAGGTTGGTTTGGTAGTCCTGTCTAGCCTCGTCACTACTTCACCGGGGTTAGGCCAAGCACTTACCAGCACATGGGGTCGGTTGTGCTGATGCTATACTTCTGTGCTCTTTTGCACAGATCACGGTACCAGAGCAGCTTTTGGACCACAGCAGTAGGATATTGATCGGGAGCTGACTTCAGTCCAGGGACTTACGAGGTAACCTAGCTGGCGTTTGCAGGTCGGAGTCCCTTTCTATGTTTTCAGTTTGTTTCATTGTACCGAGACAGACACTTATGTATTTCTATTCAGACTTGTTTGTAGCACTCTTTAGTAGTTCGTGAGATAGCGACACCAGTCTTGGGTAGAGAAATGTTAAACTTCCGCATTTTGGGTTTTTCAGTTATCTGTGTTTTAAAGACTTCCGCTTTAATTTAAATGACTCATTATATTTATATTGTTCTTGTTGAGGTTAAATCAGGAAATGTTTAAAAGGCTTGGCTTGCCTAGCTCCGACAGTAGGCGCCATCACGACCCCCGATGGTGGGAAATCCGGGTCGTGACAATAAACCTGATGCCTTTGGCAATCTATACTAAACTGCGCATTGGCAGAGCTAGACCGACCTCAATGTTGCTGCAACTGGCTGATCACACAGTCAAAAGACTGACATGAATTCTTGGTGATGTGCTTGTTCAAGTAGGGAAATTTCTATTCCCTGCAAACTTCGTCATTCTTGACTGTCAAGTGGATGAAGAGATACCAATCATTCTGGGAAGACCGTTTTAAGCCACTAGGAGAGCATTAATTGATTGTGAGACTGGAGAATTGAGAATGAGGTTGAACAACGAAGAGATAATATTCAATGTTCAACAAATCTATGAGGAGACCCAACGAATTTGCAAATTACTCACTAGTGGAGGCCGTAGATGTAATACTACAAGAGGAGGATGAGACTATTAATGTCAGGGATCCGTTAGAAGCCTGCTTGAAGAATCTGGAAAATGTGGATGGTAAGGAGTTGGCAGAGTGGGTCATGGCTCTTGAAGGTCAAGGGTTCTGGAAAAGGGAACCCCAGTTCGAGCCCCTACACATAGAAGAAAGAACAACACCACCTGCGAAACCATCGATAGAGGAGCCACCACAGTTGGACCTGAAACCGCTCCCAGCTCATCTCAAATACGCTTTCTTAGGGCCTAATTCTACTTTAACTCTTATTATATCATCCGGTTTGCTAGCTGTGCGGGTTGAGCAACTCCTACAGGTGTTACAGGAATGTGAGACTGCTATTGGTTAGACCATGGCAGACATAAAGGGTATCAGCCCAGCTTTTTGTATGCATAAGATTCTCTTGGAAGAAGGGCACAAACCTTCCAGAGAACATCAACGAAGGCTGAACCCGAATATAAAAGAGGTGGTGAAGAATGAAGTGATCAAATGGTTAGATGTGGGTATCATCTTCCCTATCTCTGACAGCAATTGGGTCAGCCCTGTTCAGTGTGTGTCGTAGAAGGGAGGCATGACGATCGTACAAAATGAGAATAACGAGTTGATCTCGACTCGTACAGTCACGGGGTGGCGGATTTGCATGGATTATCAGAAATTGAACACAGCCACCCGGAAGAACCATTTTCCCTTGCCATTCATTGACCAAATACTGGACAGGATGGCTGGGCGATCTCACTTCTGTTTCTTGGATAGATATTCGGGGTACAATCAGATCTCAATATCCCCCAAAGACATAGAGAAAACATCATTCACCTGTCCGTATGGCATATTTGCCTTTCGGACAATGCCTTTTGGACTTTGCAATGCACCGACTATATTCCAGCGGTGTAAGTTAGCCATTTTCACGGACATGGTTGAAGACATTATGGAGGTATTTATGGATGATTTCTCCATGGTGGGGGATTCATTCAACGAGTGTCTTCACAATTTAAGAAGAGTGCTCAGAAGATGTGTGGAGACAAATTTAGTGCTGAATTGGGAGAAGTGCTATTTTATGGTACAAGAAGGGATAGTCTTGGGGCATCGAGTGTCCAGCAAAGGAATTGAGGTTGATCATGCTAAGGTTGATATGATTGAGAAGTTTCCACCGCCTACTTTGGTCAAGGCAGTGAGAAGTTTCCTTGGGCACGCCGGGTTCTACAAGCGATTTATAAAAGATTTCTCTAAGATTGCTAACCTTTTATCTAAACTCCTTGAAAAGGATCAACCCTTTGTGTTTTCTAATGATTGCAGGTTGGTATTTGAGGGGCTGAAGAAGAGATTGGTGACTGCACCCATCATTGTTGCACCCAACTAGGAGCAACCGTTCGAGCTCATGTGCGACACAAGTGACTATGCTATAGGAGCAGTCTTGGGCAGCGAAAGGATAATCTGATGCACCCAATTTACTATGCAAGCAGAACGCTAAGTGGTGCGCAGCTCAATTACACTGTGACGGAAAAAGAGATGTCGGCTGTAGTTTTTGCATTCGACAATTCAAGTCGTACTTGATTGGTTCAAAAGTTATTGTTTATACTGACCATGCAGCAATTAGGTACTTGATAGCAAAGAATGAGTCAAAGCCACGCTTGACCTGCTCGGTTCTTTTGCTACAAGAATTCGATCTGGAGATTCGTGATAGAAAAGGGACAGAGAACCAAGTAGCAGACCACCTCTCAAGGTTGGAGGGAGCTGAAAAGAAGGTAGAGGTTGAAGATATAACAGAGACATTCCAGGATGAGCAGTTACTAGCCGTGACAATGGAGGAGACGCCATGGTATGCTGATATTACTAATTATTTAGCAAGCGGTATTGTACCTTATGAACTCTCTTCAATTCAAAAGAAAAAGTTCTTTCGCGATTGTCGGTCTTATTATTGGGATGAACCTCTACTTTTTAAAATATGTGTAGATAACATGATCCGGAGGTGTATCCCTGAGAAAGATCAACATTCTGTTTTGTAGGCTTGCCATGCTTCACCATATGGTGGACACTTTGGATGAATTCAGAAAGCGGCTAAGGTGTTTGAATCGGGTTTGTATTGGCCAACTGTTCAAGGATGCCCATGCTTGGGTGAAAAGTTGTGATGAGTGCCAAAGGACAGGCAACATATCTCGACGTCACGAGATGTCGATGACTACTATTCAAGAGGTGGAGATATTTGAAATATGGGGGATTGACTTTATGGGGCCATTCATCAGCTCGTATGGTAACAAATACATACTGGTGGCAGTTGACTATGTCTCCAAATAGGTTGAAGCTGTGGCTCTCCCAACCAATGCTGCAAAGGGGGTGACAGGCTTTCTAAAGAAAAACATCTTCACACGTTTTGGCACCCCGAGAGCTATAATCAGTGATGGTGGAACCCATTTTGGCAATAGAGCGTTCGCACAGCTGTTGGAAAAGTATGGAGTTCACCATAAGGTGACCACCCTTTATCACCCACAGTCGAACGGGCAAGTTGAAGTGTCAAACCGGGAAATCAAAAGTGTCCTAACCAAGACACTGAATGCAACAAGGACTGATTGAGAAAAGAAGTTGGATGGTGCAGTATGGGCGTACCACACAATATTTAAAATTCCAATTGGTATGTCACCATACAAGTTGGTGTTTGGAAAGCATGCCACCTTCCGGTAGAGCTCGAGCATAAAGCCCTTTGGGCACTGCGGCAGTTGAATTTGGATATGGAGACCGCAGATACTAGTAGAGTCACTGAGTTACATGAACTCGAGAAATTCAGGTTCCATGCATTTGAGAATGCAAGATTGTACAAAGAAAGGATGAAATTGATGCATGATAAGCATATTCTAGATCAGAACTTCAAACCTGGGGATCTAGTATTGTTATACAACTCGAGACTAAGATTGTTCCTGGGTAAATTGAAGTCCCGATGGTCAGGTCCCTTCAGAGTGGTGCAAGTGTTCTCAAGTGGAGTTGTAGAAATTGAATCCGAAGATGGAACAAATACGTTCACAATGAATGGGCAAAGGTTGAAACATTACCTTGGAATGGTCAAAGAAAAGGGGGATAGAGTGGTGATATCTTTGGAAGAGCCCCAATACATGAGCGAAGAGTGATAATGAAAGTCTGCGTCGTGTCGCGACGTTAAATCAGGCGCTTTCTGGGAGGCAACCCATGGTTTGTTGTATATCGTCATGTCGCAACGTTGAATTAGGTGCTTTTTGGGAGGAAACCCATGATTTTTCTTTGTTCTTATTTTTGTAATTGACTTTTTTAACGGTGACAATATTGATCGATCTACTAAGGTGCAGGAACGAAGGTATGCGCAGCGGAAGGACTCGGGGCGACGAAATTATCCCAGAGAGAGGAAAAGGTGCAAAGAAAAAAAGAAAAAGAATTTTGATACCTCAATGCGGCCGCGGATCGAACACGGATTGTGCATGATATTTTGTCCGCGGCAGCGGACGTGACTGCGGATCCGACCGCGGATCTGGCGCCGTTCAGGTTCAATTAGAATAATTTTTTTATTTCTTTTCTTTTCTCTTCTCACCCTTTTTAATTAGTACCCCCCCCCCCCCACTCCTCCCACTCCCCCACTTCTTTCCCCTCCCCCTTAATAGAAACAAATCTAAAACCCTTCCCTTTCCCCCTAATCACAAAACAACGAACCCCCCCCCCCCCTTCTTCTCCCCAATTTTTTTTAACTTAACAAAATCTCCTCCCCTTCTCCCTCTTCTCTACTCAACAACTACCCAAGCTCCATTCCTCACAAGATTTTCAAGTAAGTACGTGCTTCTACCTTTTTTTTAGTTTTTTTTTCCAATTTTTTTCATTCTTTTTCTCTTCTATTGTAAGTGTAGGATAGTAGAAGTTATGGGTACTCTTATCTTTGTTTTTGTTTGTTGGTATATATGTTGGTATTTGAGGATATTAGATTTGGTTGGGTTGGGAAGATATTGTTGAGTTGTGAAGAAAGGAAGTTTAATTGGGTCTTTGGGTACACTAGGGGGCATATGCATAGTAGGTGTTTGTTGAATGCCACAATGAGTTTTTTAGTATAAATTGTGACCAACGGTGCGAGTGAAGTCTGAGTAACTGCCCTTGGTTCACATATTCCGCCGATTATTGATAGTGGTGGTTGTTGTGTAGGTAGCATGAGATCTTCAAAGAAGAGACGCACTACCGGTGCCTCATCAAGTGGTCATGGAGGCTCGTCCCGGGCATGGGCACCAGCTAGTTCAGCTCAGTTTGATCGCACCAGGTTTGTCTCCAGAGCTGCCAAAGTCTGTTTCAGTTGGAAGGCTATTAGAAAGCCTGTACCGGCAAGGGGAGTTGACAGGGGATCCCTCCAGGCTGAGTGCCCCAATATGTATAGGGAGTTGATTAGGCGCAGGCTAGACATCTTCTTCGAAGAGCCGGAGGACGGTAACATGATGCTTGTAGGGAATTTTACACCAACTGTTCTAAACATGAGGATCACATCTGCACTGTGCGACAAAAGAGGGTGACTCCAAAACCCAATGTCGTAGGTTCAAATCCTACAGAGCGTGATTTTTTTCTTCTTAGATCGAATTAATGCCTCGATTGAAGCCATTAGGAGAGTGTATCGCTTGCTTGTATTCACTGGGGAGGTGGATTACTATGATACTTACCGGCGAGAACCAACAAATTGGCAAATGTTTTTCAGAACTATCTGTTTACCAGACAAAGAGGTAGTGTGGGTTGTAAAGGGATCGAAGTTGCACCCAGCCTCACTCATCTTTGAAGGAAAGTGTTGGTTGTACATCATCAATAATTGACTGCTGCCGTCCCACAACGCCACTGAGGTAAATGGTCCGAGAGCTGCTTTGATCTAGTGCTTCGTGAATGGCCAAGATTTTGATGTGGCCAAGGTTATTCAATCTGAAATGTTCATCCGTTCAACACTCAGGAGGTATGGGTTCTTCTTCCCATCTCTGGTCACTAGATTGTGCCGGGCCATAGGGGTGCCAGAGAACCCCATTGTGGATGGCAAGGTGAAGAAAGAAGCAAGTTCTGGGCATCCAAAGTGACCATTGGGAAAGACAGGGCGGTACCTGGTTCAACTGATAGTGATGATTGTGAGGCGTCAGAGGAGAGCGATGACGAGCAGGAGGAAGTTGGGCCTTCTTCAACCCCACAGGAACAAGTTAGGCCATCCTCACTCCCACGGGAACAAGTAGCCGCGGTTGAAGGATCATATGCATTCAGACGGTGTACGCGAATAACAGCTTTAGAACAGGAAATGGCAGGGTTGCGCACTTCCGTCACAAAATTGGGGACTAGAGTTGATGCCTTGGCCACCCAAAATGCGAAATCGGAGAAGAAAATCATGGGCTGGCTGCGTGCGCTGGGGAGGGCGTGTCATCTCGACCCCAGCACTATCTTCGATCAAGACTGAGCTTCCAAGGAAGTTCCTTTACCTCGCATTACTTTATTTTGTATGACATGGGGACATACCATCATTTTAAGTATGGGGTTGGGGAGACTTTGTGGCATGTTGTATGTAGAATAGTTTTATAGTTTATTTACATAAATCATTTTCGACTTGTCCCGACGATGGATATCATTTGACGGTTTTCTTGAGGGACTAAAGTCGAAGAAAAAAAAACACAAAAAGATTTTCTTTTGAAATAGTGTATCAATTCCCCCTTGGTTTTTCTTTAAGCCACGGTTCGTTTCCAAGGGTTTCATTCGAAGCGGGTGTAGTTAGTTTTTTTTAATTGTTATTATGAACTTGTGGGTTATGGGCGGAAATAGAAATAGGACCTCTTAACGTCGTAATGCCTTGAATATAGCAGGTACTCTAGTGTGACGCTTAGGCTCAGTTGTCGACTCTTGTAAGAATACCTTAAACTATATGTTCTTAATTTGGCTTAAGTACCCTGATCAGAGTGTTTGATGACCCAATCTGGAGTGAGTCATGTGCCATGTGTGTATGAGGCTTGCTGTATTCTGTGCACAACATTTGATGCCTAGAACTTTTCGTGTGTGTCTGCAAAGTGAAATAGTAGTCTTGTTTGGTTTAGGAAGTGATATAGGCATTTCTTTGTTGAACCATATATATACTTCATCCACCCATTTGTTATGTATCGCAGTTAACCCCGTTGAGCCTGTAATCTTGTTTCTTTGGCAACCACACTACAAGCCTTACCCATTTGTTTGAATTAACCATCTATTTGAACCTTTTAACCTCTCATGAGCACTTGAATAGTTATGAACCTTGTAAAAGTTAAAGTGTGGGCTAGTGGGTTTGGCTTTTGAGTGGAACTAATGAAATAAGGAGGAAGGTGCACTGTTTTGATAAAGTAAGAGCCACTTGAATTGTAAAAATATAGTTGGATTGTTGTAAAAAATATTCCTTGCTAAGTGGTGGCTCTTGATGTAATTGTACTTAAAAAAGAAGGAAGTTAATATACAGTGATGTAAAGGTGGAGTCATGATTTGACATAAGTGTGGGGTTTTGAATGTTAAAGTATATGTATTAAAGTGCTTAGGGAGGTGTAACCACTCGTATATCTAAATGTATCATACCTGTCCCACGGCCTACATTGCAACCAAATAAAGCCATACTTGATCCTAGACTGAATGAGCTCGATTAGTAGAGTAGTACACTACGGGCAAGCCTATGGTGCATCTTTTGTGGCATATGAATGTGATTCCTTAGGGTGAGTGAATTCTGTGTATATTGAAGTTCCTCAGTGTGTGTGCATTTTATTGATTGTGGAATGAGTCTCTTTTGCTATGAGCAGGCACTTGATTCATGAAGGAGAGGTAAGTTTGGACCTCTGAGTTAGAGTAAGTAAGCCGGTTAGGAATATTGCGTGGCTCGCGGGAGTCAACTCTTGAGGTGTGGATGTTACACTAATGTACTCAATCTATGAGGAATATTCTTGGTGTGACGAGTTAGGGAAGTCGCTCGGGGAAGTTAGGCCTCTGTAGAGTGTGGTTTGATTGCTCGAGGACGAGCAAAGGTTTAAGCGTGGGGTGTTGATAGTAGACGATAATTATGCAATTTAGATACTATTTACACTCTAATTTGGCCGCACTTTATCAATGTTTGAATGTTAAAAGATAACAAAATTCTCTAATTAAGAGTTTTACGTTTTGCAAAAGCCACTCCGAGCTAGGAGGTAGTTAAAGAGTGATTTGGAATCAATATGGAGTGTGGAAGGCCAATCGGAGGATAGCACGGTCGAAAAGGAGAAAGAAAAGCAAGTGCCAGCTCCGCGGTTAGATCCGCGGCCGCGGATAGAATATGGGCAAAATCCGCGGTCAGATCCGCGGACGAGCTGACGGAAGACAATAACCTAGGTTCAATTATGTAATTTCCAAGGCGACTAACCTAAACCTATATGAAGCCTAATTCGTCCAAAAGAGGGGATAGCTGTTTTTAGAGAGAATTTGAAGGCAAGAACACGGAAGAAAGACAGAGAATTTCCTTAGAGTTTTTATCTTCTTCTTTTTAACTCCGTTGTTGATTATGACTTTATATAGTGAATTTTTATCTATTAGCATGAGTAGCTAAGCGTGTCATCTAGGGTTGATGGAACCAATTGTTGGATGAAGTCTTGACTCTGTATTGATATAATTGAGCCGTTTTTACTCTATGATTGTTCAACTACGTGTTGTCTTGTGATTAATTGAAAGGGCCCTTGATTAATCGTGTCTAGTTATCTTGTGTTGCTTGAGAAAGAACACTTGGTTAGATTGTTGTTGAACAACACCACTTTCGGGTAAGTTAAGAGATTAATTACTTGAATTTAAAAGCAGGGTTAGAGATAACGAAGCTTTGGTGGGACAATTCTGAGTTGCATAAATTGTTAACTAGAGTAGTTCGAGAGAATGCTTCTAGATTATCATAATTGATCAAGAGATAATTATGGTAACCCAGAACTCATATTTCTTATAGAGTGTTATGGCGAGATTATAGCTAACGTGTTAGGAATTAATCCGACAATTGGGAAAATCAATAACCCTAGACCATTTTACCATTGAATTCAACTCTATTCCGTATTATTGCTAGTTTTAGTGTTATTTTTCCTTAGTTAACTAAATTCTACTCAATATCCACAAAATATCTTGCATCCGGGAATTGTATGAGCTATTCATTAGCAGTGTTTAAAGTTGTAGTAAATAGGTTAGTTCCCTGTGGGATTCGACTTTGGACTTGAACCGGATTATATTTGCAGTGGCCGCTGAGTCCTTTTTATAAGGCATAGTTGGGCGTGATCAGTATGCATTTTGTATATCATGTGTAGAGCTGTCAAAACAAGCCAGCCCAGCCCAGCCCAAGCCTCGCAGGTTTTTAAATTTGATGGGCTAGGATGGACCGGCCCGCCATCTAAATGGGCCTTAAAATGGCCAGCCCAATACTGTCCTAAGAGGGCCACGGGCTACGGGAAAAAAATTCTTCAAATCTTTAAATATTTCTTCGTGACATTGTCTCATAATCGTATGAACAACTTCTGTTTGTTTAGAATTTCGAGATTTGACAAGGAATCTCGTAATTAAAATGCAAATTCTCTATATCTCTAGCTCTTCTTTTTTAACGTTGCATGAATAATATTTTAATACTTTTCTTTCACTTTCCTCAGGTTCAGGGATTGCTTCAATAAATGTATATGCTGAGATTTTTTTTAATTTAGGTTTAACATTATTTGCTGATTTCATTATTAAAGCCCATAAATATTTTAAAATTCAAAAAATTTTCTAGTGTTGTCAATTTTCGTTGGGTATTAAAACTTGACCTTTTTCAATACCGAAGAGTAGTTTAATTTATTAATAACGTATTAAAGTAACCAACTGATCATTCGCCACTTAAAGTAACATTTCCTTTTGGAAAAAAATATTATTGGCCACTTAAAACTTTCCTAGTTCGTTATTAATTAGGCAAAAGAAAAACTAATCTTGTCATACTACATGCATATCAAAATTCTATATGGAAGGGTAAATGAGCAATCTATAGTTGGGGAATGGGAATTATAGTTAATAGTTTTTTTAGTTTTTACTTTTTAAAATATTAAATATTTAAACTTGAATTTAATTAATTTTTGGCCCACGGGGCGACCCTGGCCTAGCCTCGGTCAAGCCTCAAGGGCCAACGGGCTAACTTGGGCCAGGCTTATAAGCTTCAGCTTTAAATGGGCTAATAAAATTCCAACCCTACCCAAGTAGCGGGCTGGATTGGGCTGGACTCACGAGTCAAACTCATTTTGAGGGCTCTAATCGTGTGTTCTTCCTTCTCTTCGAGTTTCAATCTGAAAATTCACCCAAAACAAACTCTAATTTTAATCAGTCTCCCTCAAAATTGAGATATAAATTCCAAAGAATATTCTCAATTTTGCAATTGTAAAACCCAAAGTTTAAATTCAAAGTTCAAAACTTTTTAATGGTTGTCAGTAAAGTTAACAGCTTTGTCATTATTTCTTAATTATTATTATTAAAATAAATATAGATGATTTCTAAAATCTTTCAAATCACGCCAGCATCTCCAATTAATTAATGTGTATTGGTGTGATTGCATTTTCATAAGCTCATATATCTGGTAATTCATTAAAAATTAAAATGATTGTATTACTGTGTGGGGTACGATGATTCAGAAGTCGGCAGTAGAATTTTCATGATTTTAGAGAGAGAAAACGGGGTTTTGAAGAGGAACAGGGTCAGATCAGAACGTGAGTCAGAAGGGTTTAGCTCTTAGGCGTGGGTTACCCATTTAAATTGCCTATACTTAAGGGATCACTACTAGTCTGAAGTCAGAAATTTTCTTATTTCCGTCAACAGAATCCGACTACAAAAATGTGATATTGGTGGTTGAAAAAATACGATTTTCTAGTATTAGATCTAATGTTATTATAGATTTGTATACAAATTATAAATATAAATATGATATGTAATTAAAAAAGAATCTGGTAATTAAGTCTATAAAAAAGCATAGCCATAAAAATTCCTTCTTCACCATTTTTTTTCATCAAAAAATGGGCTACCCCTTATTCTTTCATAGAATCACCAAACTCCAGGAGAATAAAAGGACAATTATATATTCTAGACAGATAAATACAGTTATTATAACTTAAAGCTCATATATCATTCCAACTTTTAGCATACGCGTGTGAGGAATGTGGAAAACCTTGTTACTTTGCGTGAGGGTTCTTGTTCAAGAAGTTGTAAGCATAATTTATTATCACTTTCTTTACTATACCAGACCCCTTACTCGCAATACCAAATGAACTATATGCTCTCTCTAGTATTTCTCTTTCTTTTTCCACTAATGTAGCAAAATCCTCTTCTTTTTCGACTTGTTTTATATTTGAATTCTCCTCGTCGGACCTCATTGAACCAACATTAATAATGCATCATTCTCTAATTGTTTGATCTTTTCAGTGGATACAAGCAATATTCTCGTATGATCAGATGGCTGTACCCAACAAACAGAAGAGGAATCTTTATTCTACTGGAACTTCGCTGATTTGGATGAAACAAACACAAGAACAGATTCGCTACATAATGCTTGAAAATTATAAAGGATCAATACACAAGCTCAACCGTTCCAATGATTAGAGCATAGGCGATTATAAAAAGAATGTGAGTTTTCCAGATCATAATCTTGACTAGTATGAGGAAGGAAGATGTTAATGTCATCACAAACACCACTGCTATTCCTGTAAATATTGAGAAACACAAACGTGTTAGATATATGTCTCTTGGTTTGATTAGACGCATGGTCACTCATCTTTATCCATTATAGCAATAAGGTTAAAAGACTAACATATAACTGAATTTTATTCATTATAACAGTAATGTTACTAAACTTTATCCACTAAAGCAATAAAACTCATCCATCAAATTGAATTTGATAAGTTACTTTAATATGACAAAAATAGTTTTGTGATTTTATTGTTATAGTAGGTAATTAAGTTCAGTGACTATATTTAAAATTAAACATGTACATTACCACCAACAAACATGAGTTTGATATATCTTCAAGAAAGAGAGGGAATAACTAGAAATGAAATGTCTTAGCATAAGCGTTGCCAATTTTTGCAGTAGTCTTGACTCCAAGAGTAACAGCAACACAAGCCAACAAGAGAAGGTAATAATTGACTTCAGGGATATAGACTTGCCCTTGATGTTTGGTTGATGTATGCACGATTTTAACCCGAGGAAAGCATCCTAATGCGAGCGATTGCTGGATTATAGCGAAGGTCCCTGAAATCATGGCTTAACTTGCAATGATAGCTGCAAACTCTGCCGCCACATACATTGGCCAATATATGCCATCTGCAATATTTGTTCACGAGGAAAGAAAAGCATCAAATGTTCATTAATTTTGTCTCACGATAACATAAAACCTGTGTTGTTTAAAAATGTTGTCATCTAAGATCCTCCAAAAGTAGTGTAATTTTGGAAGCTGATTTTACAGTTTTGAAGTGTCCGAGCAATATAGCATAAAACCTAAGTGTTTATATGTATATAGATGTTATGCTTACGAGGTATAGACTTGAAAAAAGTATCAGAAACATCATCCGCGTTCTTCCTTAAAAAGGAGGCTTGACATGCTAGTATGAGCGCTGGGTATGTTACACAGTACATGCTTATCTGTATAGACTGAACAGTAAAATGACCAACATCTGCAAATTGTGCCTCCGTTCCTGCAATTCATCATTCACTATTATATTTTGCTCCGGACTCACACAGTACTCTTTTTTCGCTGAAAAATTATACTTTTTTTTTACCTAGTATTTACACCAAATCCATCAGTTTAACCTGATGAATACTCAAATATTAATTAAAGTGAAGGAAATGGTACCTGTAATTGAAAGAACAACCCCGCCAAGAGAAATCCAAGCATCCTTTTTATATCTCTTGAAGAAGTCTATGATGTATTCAGGATTAATAGCTTTGACAACACTTGTATCATGCTTTACGAAGTTGTAAATTCCAATACCAGCAATGAGTGAGAACCACACACAAATTATTGGTGCAAATGTGTAGCCAACTTTGTCAGTTCCAAATCTTTGAAACACAAACATCAAGACCAGGATAGCAATTGAAATCCAGACAATCCTTTCTGCATTAATTCCAAGAAAACAAATATTATATTATATTTACATATGGAGTGTAAAACAGTTAATTTCGCCAACAATATTTCTGACTATTATTTTAAATACTTTTCTACCAAGAGTCAATGAAATTTTCTGGCAAAGAAAATGATCTTAACTAAAAGTGGGTAATGCTTACTCGCACCCAATGTTAACACCAAATCATATCAACTTATCATGGTTAAGTGATTTAATGATGTGAGAATAAATATTAATTAATATTAGTTATTCATATTAAGTGCTACAATCTTGTACAAATACATGTCATGATACATCAATTCGTACGGGAACGTGCTGGACTTGTATTGAGTCATGTATTTAAATTATTTGTAGTGTTATGATGTATGTTTAGTTCCAGTTTAGTATTTTGTATTTGGGTTGTCCCGGTTGTACATGGATTGTATATAAATGACATGTAATTCTACTTTGGAACTGAGATACCCATTTTATCAAAACATCTGGCAGCTCCCACTCTGTCGAACCTTATGTTCTCTCTTGTTTTCCACTTATCTCGTCAAATCCAACAGAACGGTTAAGATTTTAGGTGTTGGTCCAATTAAGAGGACAAGTTAAAATAAATTTACAGGTATCATTTTGACATATAGCACCAACGAGTAAAATTTATGGAATCAAGTCACCAAATAAGAAGTCACATCGGCCTATAATTATGGCTGTCCAACGGGACGGGCCGGCCCATCCCGTCCCGCGTCCCGTCCCGATCCCGTCCCGTCCTGTCCCACTTCAAGTTAAACGGGATGGGCCAATGTTAAACGGGATACAGGATGGGACGGGACGGCCATTTCGTCCCGTTTGTCCCGTTTCGTCCTGTCCCGTCCCGTGTTCCACCTGAACTTTTTTTTTATTTTAAATCTAGGGGCAACGGCTTAAATTGCAAAAATAGCCGTTGCCAACCGCCAAAAAACGGGCAAAACACCCCCTANTATTGCAACGATTCTTATAGGCTATTGTATCAGTTCAATTAAAACCAAAATATTGCACCTGTTATAAATAAATATTTATACATATAGTAAATTATAATAACACTAAAATTTAAATACATCATAAAATGAAACTATTAATAATATAAAATTATCCATCAAGCAAATAATAATATCCATAAAGCAAATGTTCTACCCCATGAGTGCATAAGTTTAGTACATTTCAAGAGGTTAAATAAGTTTCAAAAAATGTTGGTAACAAGTTAAAAGATTCCTAGAACATTCATCTATAAAAATTCAAAATTATCTCAAGTAAGGTCTAGTTCTTCATCGTCTTCAACATCCATTTCTTGATCTACTCCACCTACAAAAGAGGATAAATAAAGTTATTATCCTTCAAGAGAATCCGGTCTAAGAATACTCATAGAACAAATTGCCATGAAAAAAAAAGAACAGAGAAGTAGCTACTATTACAGAGTGCAAAAAACAGAGAAAACTCTCAGTTATTACTCTTTTTCAACATTCTGGTAACAAAATCATATATGAATTAGAGAGAAAGCAAAATAAACACAATGAAAGTTCATTTCTTGAGCAACTTCTTGATACTATTACTTAGTTCTTTTACAGCTCACTTCAAGATTTCAATGGCAAGGGAAAAACCAGAAGAATTCTGCACCAGCCACTCTTTCTAGTTACTTCATCTCCACTATGGCTGTCCAACGGGACGGGCCGGCCCGTCCCGTCCCGCATCCCGTCCCGGTCCCGTCCCGTCCCGTCCCGTCCCGTCCCGCTTCAAGTTAAATGGGATGGGCCAATGTTAAACGGGACACGGGATGGGACGGGACGGCCATTTCGTCCCGTTTGTCCCGTCCCGTTTCGTCCCGTCCCGTCCCGTCCCGTCCCGTCCCGCGTCCCGTCTCGCGTCCCGCCAGGTTTTTTTTTTTTTTTTTAAAAACTAGCCGTTGGGCAACGGCTTAAATGGCAAAAATAGCCGTTGCCAACGGTCCAAACAACCCCTACACCCCCCAAAACACCCCCTACCTCCCTCCCTCCCAAACTTTTAATATAACCCCTAAGTTTATTAAATTATACTTTGGTCCTATTTTCTACTATAAATACCCCCCATTCTTCTTCATTTTTTCCCACAAAAAATCAATCTTCTCTCTCAAATCTCTTACTTATTCTCTCAATTTTGTTACTATCAACTATCAAGTGAAAACTTTCAAGTTTCAAGTATTTGGGCAAATTTTTGGAGCAACTTTCAAGCTTCAAATTAATTCGTCAAGTATCTGGAGCAATATTTTGGGCAATTTCTTCAAGTTTCAGTATTTAATCACGGTGCACTCGTTCCATCTCCTAATTTTAATATATAATTTTTGCGTATCATTTTAGTGCTTTTGTTTTTACTTTACGTGTTCTATTTTCGTATTTCATTTGTGTGTTTAATTTTTGTATTAGCTTTTTTAATTTGATTTCGTATTTAGATTATGGCACCTAAATATGTATTTGGCATTTTTTTAAAAAGTAGTAAAAAAAATAGTAAAGGTGAAAGTAGTAGTAATCCTAATCCTAGTCCTAATCCTAACCCTTCTCCTAGAATTAGAAAACATATAGATGAAATGACTCATGTTGATGAAAATTCATTTTCCCAACCCCCGCATTTTATGATGTTAATGTCGGAGAACAACTAGATCATGAAACTTTACAAAGACAATTTGGCAATGATATTTTTTTTTTGAGGACGAAGAAAATGAGGAAGAAGAATTAGATGAAACGCCCACTAGTCACGCAACACAAGCTCCAACTCAGAGTCATTCTCGGTCTGGAGCTTTACCCCCGTACCTGTAAGGGGTAAGCCTAAGGCTGAACATCCCAAAATATCACTTGTATGGAAATTTTTTAAACATGATAAAGTCAATCATCATGCTATATGTGAAAAATGTAAGCAACAATTTGCACACACAACAAGTGGTGGGACGGGGGATTTAACTAGACACTTAAGAAAGGATCACAAATCTTTATGGATACAAGCTAACATAGAAGCCGAAAAAATTATAGATCGTACCATCGGTACTGGCACTCCTAGTGGATCTGGTTCTAATCAAATTCAACAACAACTTGACCCTGCTTCTGGTCATGTTTTATGCCCCTATAACAAAGATAGAGATCGTGAGAACTTAGCAAAAATGGTGGTTGTCTGTGGCTTACCTTTTATTTTTTCTTCTCATCCTGCTTTTGTGCATTATATACAAGAAACTTATAACCCTGCTTTTCAAGGTTTTCCTAAGACCACGGTTAGAATATATTTAAATTTCAAACCGAATATCTTCAGTATATTCGTTGTGTATTTTTTCACTTAGATTGTAAAGTGTCTATCACATCTGACATAGGTCGTAGTCCTAATGGTTGTGATTATTTAACTGTTACATGTCACTGGGTTGATCATCACTGGAACATGCAAAAACGTATTATTGGTTATAAATTTGTTGATTCAAAACACACTGGAGCATATATTGCAACTACTGTTCTACAAATACTTGATTTTTATGGACTCATTGATAAAGTTTTAACTATCACCTTAGATAATGCTTCTGCTAACACAACCGCAGCAAATAGCTTAAAATCTAGACTTTGTCCAATTAATCTAGCAATTTTTCATGTTAGATGTGCATGCCATATTTTTAACTTGGTTGTAAAAGATGGTCTTAATTTATTTTCTGATGCTTGTAGTAAAATACAACATGCTTGTGGCTGTATTTTTCGTGCTAATAAAGCGAGTAGAATTCGTGAATTTGCTCAAAAATGTGCTAGCGCTAACCTTCCATTTAGAAAAGTTCCAAAAGAAGTTTGTACTGGGTGAAATTCTACTTATGAAATGATTAAAGCTACTTATGATTATCGGGTGCCTATCCAAAAGGTATTTAATATGCATAATGGTATCCCCGCTGATCAAATTGTTGATTCTGATTGGGATGAGATCAAAGAGCTTACTAAATTTTTAGAAAAATTTTATTATGCTACAAAAAAATTTCTGGTATATATTATCCTACTGTTACACAAATATTATGGTATATTTGTGGAATTTCTATTATATTTGGTAAGTATAAAACAAATCCAACTTATGCATCGGCCATTAATGAAATGATTTCAAAATTTAAAAAGTATTTTTTTCCTATTCCCGAAATTTATTTAATTTCTACTCTACTTAACCCTTCTTTAAAACTAAGAGGTGCAAAGGGACTTGTTCGTTAAATTTATGAGAATTTAGCAATTCAAGAAAATGAACAACCATCTCACAAAGACTGCCAAGCTAGCATATATTCTTATGCTAGATCAATATTTGATAAATATAAATCTATGGATACAACAAGTTGTGAAACTGCTCCTTCTACTTCTAAGTCTAGAGCAGAAATTTTATGGGAAGATATGGATGATATAACAGGTTTTGATTCCTCTATTGATGATGAACTTGATTCTTATCTTAATCGAGGATTGGAAAGTATTAAAGACGAAGAAGGCAAGGAACAACTTTTGTCATGATGGAGGGGGCGTGCAAGGCTTTTCCAACTCTCAATAATGGCCCGAGATATCCTGGCTATTCAAGCATCATCAGTAGCATCGGAGAGTGCTTTTAGCGCGGTAAGATTTCAAATTGGAGATCATAGACATGCATTAGCGGAGGACAGTCTAGGGATTTCCATATTATTCATAGATTGGATTAATTCAGAAAGAAGAAATCTTGGTTTTGAAAAATTAACCACTAGGGAAGAAGAAGAATACAATGAGATACTTAGCACTGGGAGCGATGACGGCATGGAGCTTGATAATAGGTGAATTTGACTATAATCACACCTTAAATAATTACCTTCTTGTGTAGTTTTAATGCTAAAAGTGATAACAAAATGCTCTTATTAGTGCTTTTCATGATTTGCAGGTGATATATGTATAAGGAAGGCTAAGGAGCAGTTTTGGAGTCAAAATTGGAGAAAAGAGGTGTCACGACCCAAACCGAAGGGCCGCGACGGGCACCCGGTGCCTTACTCAACCGAGTACCAACGTAACATATCTTTCTTATCATACTATCATGGGTAAATGAGCTAGAAAACCCTTCATGAGATAACAAGAATAAAACATAAGGGAATACTTAACGTATGATGACCCAGCATGATATACAAACTTATACATGTGACATACGGGCCTATAAGGCCGACATGACCATTTGTGAACTCAAAAGATAGGCCGACAAGGCCATAAAAGTATCCATGCACTTGACATCTGTCTACAAGCCTCTAAGAGTACATAAAATTATAAACGGTCGGGTACAGGGCCCCGCCGATACCCAATCCAATACATATACAAAGCATACTGACACAAATAGGCAACTCCGGAGCAGAGTAGGAGTACAACCAACCACCTTCCCACTGAGCTGATAGCCCTATTAGGAGAATGTCAACCTGTCTATCGGGACCTGCGGGCCATAAAACGCAGCGTCCAAGGCAAAAGGGAC